CTTTAAACATACATAAGTAGTCCCTAATGAAAGTCCACTACCTGTTTATCCAGGCCCAGTTGGGTGTCCTGATGACAACTTAAACATACATAAGAAGTCCCCAATGAAAGTCCACTACCTGTTTATCCAGGCCCAGTTGGGTGTCCTGATGACAACTTAAACATACATAAGAAGTCCCCAATGAAAGTCCACTACCTGTTTATCCAGGCCCAGTTGGGTGTCCTGATGACAACCTTAAACAAACATAAGTAGCCCCCAATGAAAGACCACTACCTGTTTATCCAGGCCCAGTTGGGTGTCCTGATTACAACTTAAACATACATAAGAAGTCCCCAATGAAAGTCCACTACCTGTTTATCCAGGCCCAGTTGGGTGTCCTGATGACAACCTTAAACAAACATAAGTAGCCCCCAATGAAAGACCACTACCTGTTTATCCAGGCCCATTTGGGTGTCCTGATGACAACTTAAACATACATAAGTAGTCCCCAATGAAAGTCCACTACCTGTTTATCCAGGCCCAGTTGGGTGTCCTGATGACAGCTTAAACATACATAAGTAGTCCCCAATGAAAGTCCACTACCTGTTTATCCAGGCCCAGTTGGGTGTCCTGATTACAACTTAAACAAACATAAGTAGTCCCCAATGAAAGTCCACTACCTGTTTATCCAGGCCCATTTGGGTGTCCTGATTACAACTTAAACAAACATAAGTAGCCCCCAATGAAAGTCCACTACCTGTTTATCCAGGCCCATTTGGGTGTCCTGATTACAACTTAAACAAACATAAGTAGTCCCCAATGAAAGTCCACTACCTGTTTATCCAGGCCCAGTTGGGTGTCCTGATGACAGCTTAAACATACATAAGTAGTCCCCAATGAAAGTCCACTACCTGTTTATCCAGGCCCAGTTGGGTGTCCTGATGACAACCTTAAACATACATAAGTAGTCCCCAATGAAAGTCCACTACCTGTTTATCCAGGCCCAGTTGGGTGTCCTGATGACAACCTTAAACAAACATAAGTAGCCCCCAATGAAAGACCACTACCTGTTTATCCAGGCCCTGTTGGGTGTCCTGATTACAACTTAAACATACATAAGTAGTCCCCCAATGAAAGTCCACTACCTGTTTATCCAGGCCCTGTTGGGTGTCCTGATGACAACCTTAAACAAACATAAGTAGTCCCCAATGAAAGTCCACTACCTGTTTATCCAGGCCCAGTTGGGTGTCCTGATGACAACTTAAACATACATAAGTAGTCCCCAATGAAAGTCCACTACCTGTTTATCCAGGCCCAGTTGGGTGTCCTGATGACAACTTAAACATACATAAGTAGTCCCCAATGAAAGACCACTACCTGTTTATCCAGGCCCTGTTGGGTGTCCTGATGACAGCTTAAACATACATAAGTAGTCCCCAATGAAAGTCCACTACCTGTTTATCCAGGCCCAGTTGGGTGTCCTGATGACAACTTAAACAAACATAAGTAGTCCCCAATGAAAGACCACTACCTGTTTATCCAGGCCCAGTTGGGTGTCCTGATGACAACTTAAACATACATAAGTAGTCCCCAATGAAAGTCCACTACCTGTTTATCCAGGCCCTGTTGGGTGTCCTGATGACAACTTAAACATACATAAGAAGTCCCCAATGAAAGTCCACTACCTGTTTATCCAGGCCCAGTTGGGTGTCCTGATGACAACTTAAACATACATAAGAAGTCCCCAATGAAAGTCCACTACCTGTTTATCCAGGCCCTGTTGGGTGTCCTGATGACAACTTAAACATACATAAGAAGTCCCCAATGAAAGTCCACTACCTGTTTATCCAGGCCCTGTTGGGTGTCCTGATGACAACTTAAACATACATAAGAAGTCCCCAATGAAAGTCCACTACCTGTTTATCCAGGCCCTGTTGGGTGTCCTGATGACAACTTAAACATACATAAGTAGTCCCCAATGAAAGTCCACTACCTGTTTATCCAGGCCCAGTTGGGTGTCCTGATGACAACTTAAACATACATAAGAAGTACCCAATGAAAGTCCACTACCTGTTTATCCAGGCCCTGTTGGGTGTCCTGATGACAACTTAAACATACATAAGAAGTCCCCAATGAAAGTCCACTACCTGTTTATCCAGGCCCTGTTGGGTGTCCTGATGACAACTTAAACATACATAAGAAGTCCCCAATGAAAGTCCACTACCTGTTTATCCAGGCCCTGTTGGGTGTCCTGATGACAACTTAAACATACATAAGAAGTACCCAATGAAAGTCCACTACCTGTTTATCCAGGCCCAGTTGGGTGTCCTGATGACAACTTAAACATACATAAGAAGTCCCCAATGAAAGTCCACTACCTGTTTATCCAGGCCCAGTTGGGTGTCCTGATGACAGCTTAAACATACATAAGTAGTCCCCAATGAAAGTCCACTACCTGTTTATCCAGGCCCTGTTGGGTGTCCTGATGACAGCTTAAACATGACAACAAGCGTACATAAGTAGTCCCCAATGAAAGTCCACTACCTGTTTATCCAGGCCCTGTTGGGTGTCCTGATGACAACTTAAACATACATAAGTAGTCCCCAATGAAAGTCCACTACCTGTTTATCCAGGCCCAGTTGGGTGTCCTGATGACAACTTAAACATACATAAGTAGTCCCCAATGAAAGTCCACTACCTGTTTATCCAGGCCCAGTTGGGTGTCCTGATGACAACTTAAACATACATAAGTAGTCCCCAATGAAAGTCCACTACCTGTTTATCCAGGCCCAGTTGGGTGTCCTGATGACAACTTAAACATACATAAGAAGTCCCCAATGAAAGTCCACTACCTGTTTATCCAGGCCCAGTTGGGTGTCCTGATGACAACTTAAACATACATAAGAAGTCCCCAATGAAAGTCCACTACCTGTTTATCCAGGCCCAGTTGGGTGTCCTGATGACAACCTTAAACAAACATAAGTAGCCCCCAATGAAAGACCACTACCTGTTTATCCAGGCCCAGTTGGGTGTCCTGATTACAACTTAAACATACATAAGAAGTCCCCAATGAAAGTCCACTACCTGTTTATCCAGGCCCAGTTGGGTGTCCTGATGACAACCTTAAACAAACATAAGTAGCCCCCAATGAAAGACCACTACCTGTTTATCCAGGCCCATGTTGGGTGTCCTGATGACAACATAAGTGAGTCCCAAAAAACATACATAAGTAGTCCCCAATGAAAGTCCACTACCTGTTTATCCAGGCCCAGTTGGGTGTCCTGATGACAGCTTAAACATACATAAGTAGTCCCCAATGAAAGTCCACTACCTGTTTATCCAGGCCCAGTTGGGTGTCCTGATTACAACTTAAACAAACATAAGTAGTCCCCAATGAAAGTCCACTACCTGTTTATCCAGGCCCATTTGGGTGTCCTGATGACAACTTAAACATACATAAGTAGCCCCAATGAAAGTCCACTACCTGTTTATCCAGGCCCCATTTGGGTGTCCTGATGACAACTTAAACAAACATAAGTAGTCCCCAATGAAAGTCCACTACCTGTTTATCCAGGCCCAGTTGGGTGTCCTGATGACAGCTTAAACATACATAAGTAGTCCCCAATGAAAGTCCACTACCTGTTTATCCAGGCCCAGTTGGGTGTCCTGATGACAACTTAAACATACATAAGTAGTCCCCAATGAAAGTCCACTACCTGTTTATCCAGGCCCTGTTGGGTGTCCTGATGACAACTTAAACGTACATAAGAAGTCCCCAATGAAAGTCCACTACCTGTTTATCCAGGCCCAGTTGGGTGTCCTGATGACAACTTAAACATACATAAGAAGTACCCAATGAAAGTCCACTACCTGTTTATCCAGGCCCTGTTGGGTGTCCTGATGACAACTTAAACATACATAAGAAGTCCCCAATGAAAGTCCACTACCTGTTTATCCAGGCCCTGTTGGGTGTCCTGATGACAACTTAAACATACATAAGAAGTACCCAATGAAAGTCCACTACCTGTTTATCCAGGCCTGTTGGGTGTCCTGATGACAACTTAAACATACATAAGAAGTACCCAATGAAAGTCCACTACCTGTTTATCCAGGCCCAGTTGGGTGTCCTGATGACAACTTAAACATACATAAGAAGTCCCCAATGAAAGTCCACTACCTGTTTATCCAGGCCCTGTTGGGTGTCCTGATGACAACTTAAAGCATACATAGAAGTCCCCAATGAAAGTCCACTACCTGTTTATCCAGGCCCTGTTGGGTGTCCTGATGACAACTTAAACATACATAAGAAGTACCCAATGAAAGTCCACTACCTGTTTATCCAGGCCCTGTTGGGTGTCCTGATGACAGCTTAAACATACATAAGTAGTCCCCAATGAAAGTCCACTACCTGTTTATCCAGGCCCTGTTGGGTGTCCTGATGACAGCTTAAACATACATAAGTAGTCCCCAATGAAAGTCCACTACCTGTTTATCCAGGCCCTATTGGGTGTCCTGATGACAACTTAAACGTACATAAGTAGTCCCCAATGAAAGTCCACTACCTGTTTATCCAGGCCCTGTTGGGTGTCCTGATGACAACTTAAACATACATTAGTAGTCCCCAATGAAAGTCCACTACCTGTTTATCCAGGCCCAGTTGGGTGTCCTGATGATAACTGAAACGTACATAAATAGTCCACAATGACAGTCCAGTCCTTGTGTCACAGTCAATAGAGACAATCAAAGGCTGTATGATCAGGTGAGACAGAAGTAAGAACTTTCACATGTTGGTTAGCTAACTTGAGAAATGTTAGGATTATGAAAAGTCACATGAGTTCAGATGTGTAATAGAATTAACAGTAATAGAAAGTATTGGGGGAATATATTTTACCTGTTTAGATGTAGTTTGTAAACACTTATTACAAGCCAAGTCAGTCAGAGGTCATTCTAATAACTTTGGGACTATGATGGCTGCAGTAACGTATATGTCAGTATCTGACGGGATATCTTGTTTCTTTCAGACATCACTTAACGAGGCTGCAAGGGAGTCACTTTTCACCTCCCTGCCAGTTCTTTTAGAGGATTTTATCAAAGATCATGGAGGCAATTATAATCGTAAGCCATTTTTATCTTGCCCTCAAACTTTACAGGATAAAAATAATTTATGGAGTATCAAAAATTAGTCCTGGTACAAGGTTGAGACAGATTCAAGCATCTCCTTCAATCTGGTCTCAAGATGTTCTGGGTGGACCATGGGAGATGTGGCATAGTAGTTCCTGTATCCACCCAAGGGAGGTTACCATGGGATAAATGGTGGTTCAAAAAATCTTCTACTCCCTATAACCAACCTAGGGAGGTTACCAGGTGGTAATGGTTGTTCAAGACGTCCTCTACTTCCTATAACCAACCTTGGGAGGTTACCAGGTGATAATGGTTGTTCAAGACGTCCTCTACTTCCTATAACCAACCTAGGGAGGTTACCACAGGATAATGGTTGTTCAAGACGTCCTCTACTTCCTATAACCAACCTTGGGAGGTTACCAGGTGATAATGGTTGTTCAAGACGTCCTCTACTTCCTATAACCAACCTTGGGAGGTTACCAGGTGATAATGGTTGTTCAAGACGTCCTCTACTTCCTATAACCAACCTAGGGAGGTTACCACAGGATAATGGTTGTTCAAGACGTCCTCTACTTCCTATAACCAACCTTGGGAGGTTACCAGGTGATAATGGTTGTTCAAGACGTCCTCTACTTCCTATAACCAACCTAGGGAGGTTACCAGGTGATAATGGTTGTTCAAGACGTCCTCTACTTCCTATAACCAACCTTGGGAGGTTACCAGGTGATAATGGTTGTTCAAGACGTCCTCTACTTCCTATAACCAACCTTGGGAGGTTACCAGGTGATAATGGTTGTTCAAGATGTCCTCTACTTCCTATAACCAACCTAGGAGGTTACCAGGTGATAATGGTTGTTCAAGACGTCCTCTACTTCCTATAACCAACCTTGGGAGGTTACCAGGTGGTAATGGTTGTTCAAGATGTCCTCTACTTCCTATAACCAACCTTGGGAGGTTACCAGGTGATAATGGTTGTTCAAGACGTCCTCTACTTCCTATAACCAACCTAGGAGGGGAGGTTACCAGGTGATAATGGTTGTTCAAGACGTCCTCTACTTCCTATAACCAACCTTGGGAGGTTACCAGGTGATAATGGTTGTTCAAGACGTCCTCTACTCCTATAACCAACCTTGGGAGGTTACCAGGTGATAATGGTTGTTCAAGACGTCCTCTACTTCCTAGGGAGGTTACCAGGTGATAATGGGAGGTTACCACAGGATAATGGTTGTTCAAGACGTCCTCTACTTCCTATAACCAACCTTGGGAGGTTACCAGGTGATAATGGTTGTTCAAGACGTCCTCTACTTCCTATAACCAACCTTGGGAGGTTACCACAGGATAATGGTTGTTCAAGATGTCCTCTACTTCCTATAACCAACCTAGGGAGGTTACCAGGTGATAATGGTTGCTCAAGACGTCCTCTACTTCCTATAACCAACCTTGGAAGGTTACCAGGTGGTAATGGTTGTTCAAGATGTCCTCTACTTCCTATAACCAACCTTGGGAGGTTACCAGGTGATAATGGTTGTTCAAGACGTCCTCTACTTCCTATAACCAACCTAGGGAGGTTACCAGGTGATAATGGTTGTTCAAGACGTCCTCTACTTCCTATAACCAACCTTACCACAGGGAGGTTACCAGGTGACCTAATGGTTGGTTGTTCAAGACGTCCCTCTACTTCCTTAACCAAAGTTCAAGACGTCCTCTACTTCCTATAACCAACCTTGGGAGGTTACCACAGGATAATGGTTGTTCAAGACGTCCTCTACTTCCTATAACCAACCTTGGGAGGTTACCAGGTGATAATGGTTGTTCAAGACGTCCTCTACTTCCTATAACCAACCTTGGGAGGTTACCACAGGATAATGGTTGTTCAAGACGTCCTCTACTTCCTATAACCAACCTTGGGAGGTTACCAGGTGGTAATGGTTGTTCAAGACGTCCTCTACTTCCTATAACCAACCTTGGGAGGTTACCAGGTGATAATGGTTGTTCAAGACGTCCTCTACTTCCTATAACCAACCTTGGGATGTTACCAGGTGATAATGGTTGTTCAAGAAGTCCTCTACTTCCTATAACCAACCTTGGGAGGTTACCAGGTGGTAATGGTTGTTCAAGACGTCCTCTACTTCCTATAACCAACCTAGGGAGGTTACCAGGTGATAATGGTTGTTCAAGACGTCCTCTACTTCCTATAACCAACCTTGGGAGGTTACCAGGTGATAATGGTTGTTCAAGACGTCCTCTACTTCCTATAACCAACCTAGGGAGGTTACCACAGGATAATGGTTGTTCAAGATGTCCTCTACTTCCTATAACCAACCTTGGGAGGTTACCAGGTGATAATGGTTGTTCAAGATGTCCTCTACTTCCTATAACCAACCTAGGGAGGTTACCAGGTGATAATGGTTGTTCAAGACGTCCTCTACTTCCTATAACCAACCTTGGGAGGTTACCAGGTGATAATGGTTGTTCAAGATGTCCTCTACTTCCTATAACCAACCTAGGGAGGTTACCAGGTGATAATGGTTGTTTGTTAAGTCCTCTACTGCCTGAAACCACATTACTAGGGAAGTTACCATGGCGACAACATTCTAACTTTATTCCTTTGTTTATTTGTTTCAGGTAGCAGGGCTGATGCAATTCATGTTGTGATAGACCGGCATGTAATAACAGGTCAGAACATACAATCAACACTCACAGCAGTGCAGAACCTCATTCTCATGTGCTCCCAGAAGTAGTGTCTCGGCAGAAGTGTCGGGTTGAGGAGTGGGGACCGGGTACAGCATTATACAATCAAGGGTGTATGCAGTTCATGGGAAGTCTTTTTTTGTTTTGTTGTTAAATACAGATAGATTGCATATAATTTGTGTGTCATTTATTCATGATCCTAATCATCTCTCAGCATTCCATCATCAGCTGCTGCTGGTGACTTGTGTGAGGCGAGAGTATTCATGTTCAGGCTAACTGAACACACGTTGATACCTGAATCCCTGATATATGAAACTATAAAGTGAGATTGAAACTTTCGACATTTTGTCACCATACAGCATTTATTAAATCTGTCATTCCTATAGGGCCAAACGTCCTTAAGAAGTAAGTGTTAGATTGAGCTACAATGGAAAGTCTAGTACTGTGTGGAGAGGCTGATGTCACCAAGGAACTCTGACTACAATAGGTGCACAGTCAGTGCCAAAGCTCCATTTCAGGCATGAAGCAAAGACAAGCAAAACTGCAGCACCTTAAATACAGAATTGACTTGTGCATTCAGATCAATTACAGTCTGTTTGGCTCAAAAGTGGACCAATAAATTGCAGTCTAACTCTCATTAACAAACTTTCATTAGAATATTGACACAGTTCACTATTTGTTACGAGGGAAGAGTGCAAAGAGAGAAACAGCCAGGTGTATGAGAAGCACAAGCAAAAGTGCCGACAAAGTTATTTATGCATTATCCTGTGCTGTGATGTCTCCATCCTCTCTCGCACACCTGGCTGTTCCTCTCTTTGCACTCCTCCCTCGTAACAAATAGTGAACTTTGTCAATATTTTAATGATAGTTTGTTAAACATTTTTTTTATATTTAGGACATATATTCTGCAAAAAACATTCCCAGAGTTGGTCTGATGTGTTGATTATGATCACCGTTTCATTGAGTATTATATGTTTATTATATGTTTAATAGTTTTCGAGTTTTTAAGCCAATTCCTTATTTGGTTACTTTTGAAAGATGACATCGTAATTGGTGTACTAACTAATTCCTCCACACAATGTTAATCAAGTCTGAATTGAAAAGCTATTTTGTGGTTAAATGAAATCATAAATTGAGCAGGGTCATGACTGCCAGGTCTAATGAAGATAATGAATCCAGATCAGTCTAGTTCCAGTATAGATCCTTCAAGAGCTAGCGGAGGGGGTTACTACTTGGATTGAAGTAAACAGGTTTCCTGTGTTGGAACTTCAATGAAGACATGTTGACCAATGAAGCTGGTTTACAACTATGAATACTCTTTAATAGTATCTGTATGAACAGTTTTCATTCACAAAACACTGTCCTCTAACTGGGTGCTAGATGAATGTGTTTTTCTTATTTGTGCCAAAACGCCCCTAAATAATTGGCATGATGTCATCATAAATAATATTGCCAAAACACTTATTGTTATTCATAAAATCAGAAAATATTTTAGCATTTAAAGAAGAACATGTACTTAAATATACCAGATCTGTGCCAGGAACAGTTTATTCATATTATTACAACCTATAAATACCACAGACTGTTTCTTGAGTTCGCAGGTAATAACTGTTACTAAACCATTTTTATTGCTTTGTAATTGTTAGTTTCAGTACACTGAAAGTGTGTGTATTGAAAATAAGATTTCATTAATAAAATGAAGTAGATGCAATAGCATCTGTTCATGATGAAAATAGGTTCAAAGGTTATTGTCTCATATAAGTGACTTCTAAACTCTCCTTCATTGAGCTGAAGGGCTAAAAAAACAGAGAAAAAGGCCCACATTTCACTTTATATTGAGGGAGTCTGTGAACAGTAATGTAGATTGAAATGTGATTACCTGAACTGGACATTTTAAACAGATAAGAAGTTGTATGTGATGATTTATCACAACTGTGGCTGGCCAAAGTAAAGTGAAAGAATATCCTCGATTCATTCTGATGTCATCTAGAACTGTTGGCAATCAGCCTCATCCTTGTCCCATCCTGAGGCCAATAGGAACCACCAGCATGACTGTGGTCCAGTCCTGAGGCCAGTATGTCATCCAGAACTGTGGACCACCAGGATGAGTCTGGTCCAATCCTGAGGTCAATAGGTCATCCCGAACTGTGCACCACCAGCATAAGCCTGGTCCAATCCTGAGGTCAATAGGTCATCCCGAACTGTGCACCACCAGCATAAGCCTGGTCCAATCCTGAGGTCAATAGGTCATCCCGAACTGTGCACCACCAGCATAAGCCTGGTCCAATTCTGAGGTCAGTAAGTCATCCAGAACTGTGGACCACCAACATCAGCCTGGTCCAATCCTGAGGCCAGTATGTCATCCAGAACTGTGGACCATCAGGATGAGTCTGGTCCAATCCTGAGGTCAATAGGTCATCCAGAACTGTGGACCACCAGCATAAGCCTGGTCCAATTCTGAGGTCAGTAAGTCATCCAGAACTGTGGACCACCAACATCAGCCTGGTCCAATCCTGAGGTCAGTAAGTCATCCAGAACTGTGGATCACCAGCATCAGCCTGGTCCAATACTGAGGTCAGTAAGTCATCCAGAAATGTGGACCACCAGCATAAGCCTGGTCCAATACTGAGGTCAGTAAGTCATCCAGAAATGTGGACCACCAGCATAAGCCTGGTCCAATCCTGAGGTCAATAAGTCATCCAGAACTGTGGACCACCAGCATAAGCCTGGTCCAATCCTGAGGTCAATAGGTCATCCCGAACTGTGCACCACCAGCATAAGCCTGGTCCAATTCTGAGGTCAGTAAGTCATCCAGAACTGTGGACCACCAACATCAGCCTGGTCCAATCCTGAGGCCAGTATGTCATCCAGAACTGTGGACCATCAGGATGAGTCTGGTCCAATCCTGAGGCCAGTATGTCATCCAGAACTGTGGATCACCAGGATGAGCCTGTTCCAATCCTGAGGTCAGTAAGTCATCCAGAAATGTGGACCACAAGCATAAGCCTGGTCCAATACTGAGGTCAGTAAGTCATCCAGAAATGTGGACCACAAGCATAAGCCTGGTCCAATACTGAGGTCAGTAAGTCATCCACAAATGTGGACCCCCAGCATGAGCCTGGTCCAATACTGAGGTCAGTAAGTCATCCACAAATGTGGTCCACCAGCATCAGCCTGGTCCAATCCTGAGGCCAAAACGTCATCCAGAAATGTGGACCACCAGCATCAGCCTGGTCCAATCCTGAGGTCAATAAGTCATCCAGAGCTGTGGACCACCAGCATAAGCCTGGTCCAATACTGAGGTCAGTAAGTTATCCAGAAATGTGGACCACCAGGATGAGCCTGGTCCAATCCTGAGGTCAGTAAGTCATCCAGAAATGTGGACCACAAGCATAAGCCTGGTCCAATACTGAGGTCAGTAAGTCATCCAGAAATGTGGACCACCAGCATAAGCCTGGTCCAATACTGAGGTCAGTAATGTTATCCAGCAAGCCTGGTACTGAGGTCAGTAAGTCATCCAGGCTGGTCCAAGCATCTGCCTGGTCAAGCCAAAAGTCATCCAGAAATGTGGACCACCAGCATCAGCCTGGTCCAATCCTGAGGTCAATAAGTCATCCAGAGCTGTGGACCACCAGCATAAGCCTGGTCCAATACTGAGGTCAGTAAGTTATCCAGAACTGGTTGAGGCTGGTCCAATCCTGAGGTCAGGAAGTCACCCAGAAATGTGGACCACCAGCATCAGCCTGGTCCAATCTTGAAGTCAGTAAATCACCCAGAACTGTTGACCACCAGGAGGAGCCTGGTCCAATACTGAGGTCAGTAAGTCATCCACAAACTGGTTGAGGCTGGTCCAATCCTGAGGTCCTGAGGAAGTCATCCAGAAATGTGGACCACCAGCATCAGCCTGGTCCAATCCTGAGGTCAATAAGTCATCCAGAGCTGTGGACCACCAGCATAAGCCTGGTCCAATACTGAGGTCAGTAAGTTATCCAGAACTGGTTGAGGCTGGTCCAATCCTGAGGTCAGGAAGTCACCCAGAAATGTGGACCACCAGCATCAGCCTGGTCCAATCTTGAAGTCAGTAAATCACCCAGAACTGTGAGCCTGGTCTGAGGTCAGTAAGTCATCCAGAACTGTGGACCACCAGCATAAGCCTAGTCCCTGAGGCAGTAAGTCATCCAGAACTGTTGACCACCAATAACTGGTCCAATACTGAGGTCAGTAAGTCATCCAGAACTGTTGACCACCAGCATGAGCCTGGTCCAATACTGAGGTCAGTAAGTCATCCAGAAATGTGGACCACCAGCATAAGCCTGGTCCAATACTGAGGTCAGTAAGTCATCCAGAACTGTTGACCACCAGCATAAGCCTGGTCCAATACTGAGGTCAGTAAGTCATCCAGAACTGTGGACCACCAGCATAAGCCTGGTCCAATACTGAGGTCAGTAAGTCATCCAGAACTGTGGACCACCAGCATAAGCCTGGTCCAATACTGAGGTCAGTAAGTCATCCAGAACTGTGGACCACCAGCATAAGCCTGGTCCAATACTGAGGTCAGTAAGTCATCCAGAACTGGACCACCAGCATAAGCCTGGTCCAATACTGAGGTCAGTAAGTCATCCAGAAATGTGGACCACCAGCATAAGCCTGGTCCAATACTGAGGTCAGTAAGTCATCCAGAACTGTGGACCACCAGCATAAGCCTAGTCCTATACTGAGGTCAGTAAGTCATCCAGAACTGTGGACCACCAGCATAAGCCTAGTCCTATACTGAGGTCAGTAAGTCATCCAGAACTGTGGACCACCAGCATAAGCCTGGTCCAATACTGAGGTCAGTAAGTCATCCAGAACTGTGGACCACCAGCATAAGCCTAGTCCTATACTGAGGTCAGTAAGTCATCCAGAACTGTGGACCACCAGCATAAGCCTGGTCCAATACTGAAACTAAGCCCCGGGATTAAATACGTAAAATACTGTTCTAGTGATGAAATATTTTAACCATTTTTAAGCCTAGGGCTTAAATTCGAAAAAGCACAATATTTTGATAAAAAGGAAAAGAATCAGGATTTTTTAAAACTCTTTAATCAGGAAACTGGTCTATAAATTCAAATTTAAAGTTATGAAAATATTTACTCAAGTGTGTTTATGTGAGCGTGAATGATACAGTTGACAGTC